AAAAAAAAAAAAGAAGGAATGAAAGTTAAAACAAAGAAGAAAAATCAACAAGGCTACCACAAGTCAGCTTCTGTACCCTCATCATCTTCCTGACTAAGCTGCTGCTGCTTAGTGCACACACTATCCGCGGCGAACTGCTGGTGCTCCCCGGAGTCGCTGCCGACGCTACTGCAGGTAGAGAACTCCGCGTCGTCGTCGTCGCGCTGCACGGAGCGGGCACGCGGCATCGCCGTCACCACCGTCCGCGCATTCACCACCACGTCGTCGCACGGTTGCCGCCGCTGCTGCTCCTCTTCGTACTGCGGTGGGGGCGGAAGCGGAAGCGGCAGCAGTCCTGTCNGCCGCCGCTGCTGCTCCTCTTCGTACTGCGGTGGGGGCGGAAGCGGAAGCGGCAGCAGTCCTGTCGTCGAGCACGTTGGGGCGCGGCTGTAGAGGCGGCACTCCTGTGGCAGCACGTCGCTGGCGTACGGGTTGTGCGCATACGCGAACGCCATTGGCACCGGCCCGCCGTGGCCATAGCTCCAGCCGTAGGCCGCGTCGTACACGTACGGCGGCGCCGGGTATTCGCAGCCGCCGCCATACAGCGTGGCGTGGCGCAGCTGCCGCCGGTACAAGCGGATTGCCTCCTCCGTGATGAGGCCATCACGGATATTCATCTCGGGCGTGCGCAGCTCGTGCGCGCCGTGGGCGAACATGCAGCGTGTCTCGTAGGGGCAGGCGCCGGTCTCCACGTAGTTGCGGCACATCTTCGTCTTGTAGCGCTCCGCCATGATCGGCCGCGTCTGCTCGCTGTTTCCGGAGGAGAGTGTGGTGTGGCCCACCGACGCGGGGTCCTCGCGGCTGCACGAAGAGGACACGGCGGCCGTCACTGCGGGTGCCGCACATGCCGGCATCATTCGCGTGTTCATGCTCATCGTCATCATCGTCGCAGATATATATATATATATATATCTATACCACTCTGGTGTCTTATTAACGAGGTATTTCTGCTGCGATGGAAATGTTCTGGTTGTGTTGCTGCTGGAATCGATTGCTGTTGTCTACGAAAGTGCGTGCTTTAATGGGCGTACGGTCTTTTGTACTGGTAGCGGGCTTGGAGAGAGCAAAAAAACAAAAACAAACTAGACTGACTGATTCTTTCTTTGCTTGCCCCACCCGCCCAGGTTCCACACCCACACACACACACACACAGAGAGAGAGAGAGAGAGAGAGAGAGAGAGAGAAAGAAAGAGGAGAAAGACGGTACACACAAACATGCCAGGGGCCACACCCCACACACACACCCACCACGCAGAGGCCCAGCGGCAGAGGCCGAGAGGGAGGCAGAAGCTGTACGTGACAAGCCACCACTACCAGCAGCAGCAGCAGCAGCGGTGCGTGATGTTCGGCCAGAGCATGAAAAACAATCGTGAAAATAAGAACGAAAAACAAAAGAAAAAAAAAAAAA